TTCACATGTACAAATAACAAGAAACTGGTCCCTGGGTAGGGCTGGGGGTTATGGCTAGATTCTTGCTGTTTCTAGGACTGGAAGTCTGAACTTAGCTCTGTCCCCATGTCCCCTTCTCAGCAAAACTGTAACTTGGAGAGGACTAATGTTTGATTTACATGGAAAGATTGCTCGGCTGTTTCAAGATTAAAATTAGAAAGTACCTACCTTGCCACTCGTTTCTTCTCCTGCTCCTCCTCTATGAGAGAAGGAGGGGGGGATAACCGGAGGGGAAAAACAAATCATTCTATTCCTCCTCCCCTTTTAGTAAAGAAATATTTAAGTCGCATGCATTCTTGGAGACAAGTTTCAAAAAACACTCAGCCCACAAGAATTCTGTTCATCCCACAAAATCTGCTTTGGTCCTGCATGCAGTTGCTAATACGGGCTCCTCCACTTTCAGCCCATCAGCATTTCCTTCCCTAGCCTCTAATACAAGTCAGTTAGGGTAACACAGACTTCTGAGGCTCCAGGAAACAATACTACAGGCTGGGGCTCCCCTGCCCCCAACAGGAGCTCCACTCTGAAGTTATCATAAAGAAATAGGGAAAAAGAGGCCCATATTTAGCTGGACTTTACTGAACTCTCCAGCTGACTCTTTTTAGTTTTAGCTTGGTTTATTCTATCATTTGGTGTCTGTTTAACTTATTATAGTTACTATTCAGTATTGGGCGGGGGGGTTCTTATTTAAATTATTTATTAAAACAAACACTGTCCAGAATTATTTAAAAGCCTTGCTATCTATTGGATATATGGCATCATTTTTTAAAATAACAAACCAAGGGCTGGAATCAAGATTGCTGAGAGAAATATCAACAACCTCAGATAAGCAGAAAATACCACTCTAATGGCAGAAAGTAAAGAGGAACTAAAGAGCCTCTTGATGAGGGTGAAAGAGGAGAGTGAAAAAGCTGGCTTAAAACATGACATTCAGAAAACTAAGATCATGGCACCCAGTCCCGTCACTTCATGGCAAATAGATGGGGAAATAGTGGAAACAGTGACAGATTTTATATTCTTGGGCTCCAAAATCACTGCAGGTGGTGCCTGCATCCATGAAATTAAAAGACAATGCTTGCTCCTTGGAAGAAAAGCTATGACAAACCTAGACAGTGTATTAAAAAGCAGAGACATCACTTTGCCAATAAAGGTCCAGATAGTCAAAGCTATGATTTTTCCAGTAGTCATGTATGGATGTGAGAGTTGGACCATAAAGAAGGCTGAATGCCAAAGTATTGATACTTTGGAACTATGGTGCTAGAGAAGACTCTTGAGAGTCCCTTGGAGAACAGGAGATCAAACCAGTCAATCCTAAAGGAAATCAACCCTGAATATTCACTGAAAGGAACTGATCCTGAAGCTCCAATACTTTGGCCACATGACACAAAGAGCCAACTCATTGAAAAAGACCTTGATGCTGGGAAAGATTAAGGGCAGGAGGAGAAGGGGTGACAGAGGATGAGATGGTTGGATGGCATCACCAATTCAATGGACAAGAGTTTGAGCATACTCTTAGAGATAGTGAGGGACAGGGAAGCCTGGTGTGCTGCAATTCATGGGGTCACAAAGAGTTGGACACAACCTGGCGATTGAACAACAACAAGGGGAAAAATTCCACCATTTTGGAGTGTTCTCCCTTTCCAAGCTAGGTGGGGTAAAATGACACTTTTCTCCTAAGTATCCAGGATTCACCTTGTGCAGATGCCACCTGGCCACTGTAGATGAACCCTGAGACCAATGCTTCACCTGCCAATCAGTTTTGAAGCACAGTGTAACTGATTCGCTGTTCCCAAGCCCAGGTGGTAAATGTTTTGTTAATATCAGGTCATTTCTACTCTTAACCTTGTGGCAGAATATTGGCTCTCCCCTTGGCCGTGAAATTCTGGCAAGTCCTTCAAGGAAGGAGATGCATTTTCTAACAGAGGGAAAAAGATGTGGAAGGAATCTTTCCTTTCTTAACCCAGGCAGGAAAAGGGAGATGTCAGGCCTAGTTTAGAAATAAGATTGTCTGTCTTTACACTGCATTTCTTTACTGTAGCAGTGGATAATTCGGCTCTGGCAGGACAAAGGTGAGTTTGTCCTATAGAAACTCTGCAAGAAGTTTTGCTATTGTGCAGTATTTAAAATGTCAGTTGAGGGCTTTCCTGGCAGCTCAGTGGTAAAGAATCCACCTGCCCACACAGGGGACATAGGTTTGATCCCTGATCGGGGAAAATCCCGTGTGCCGTGGAGCAGCTAAGATGGTGCACCACAACTATTGAGCCTGTGCTCTAGAGCCCAGGAACCCTTGAGCCCGAGAGCCCATGCTCTGCAACAAGAGAAGCCGCTGCAATGAGAAGCCTGCACACCTCAACTCGAGAGTATCCCACGCTCGCTGCAGCTCGAGAAAGCCAGCACAGTAATGAAGACCCAGCACAACCAAAAATAAATGAATAAGTTATTTTTTAAAAAATGATGATGAAACAGTTGGAAGGGAAACCACATGCAAAGGGAGAAAGGGAAGGAGGAAGAGATGAGAAGACAAGAGAAATAAACCAGGGTTCATACTTCACACTGGGGTTCCCAGGTGGCAATAGTGGTAAAGAACCCACCTGCCGATGCAGGAGATGCGGGTTCCATCTCTGGGTTGGAGAAGGTCCCCTGGAGAAGGGCACGGCAACCCACTCCAGTATTCTTGCCTGGAGAATCCCATGGATAGAGAAGCCTGGTGAGCTACATGCTATGACTTAGCATGCATACTTCATATCATGGTGGTGGTTTAGTCACTAAGTTGTGTCTCACTCTTGCAACCCCATGGATTGTAGCCCGCCAGGTTCCTCTGTTCATAGGGTTTTCCAGGCAAGAATACTGGAGTGAATTGCCATTTTCTTTTCCAGGGGATCTTCCAGACCCAGGGATTGAACCCAGGTCTCCTGGGCTGAAGGCAGATACTTTACCGACTGAGCCACCAGGGAAGCCCTTATTATCATATATAAAGTTAATTCCAAATAGATTATAGATCTATACGTAAAACTCTAAAACTTTTAGGAAAAAAATAGGAGAAAGCCTTTGTTACCTTGGGTTATGAAAAGTGTCCTTAGATACACCAAAGTGAAGTCGCTCAGTCGTGTCCGACTCTTTGCAACCCCATGGACTGTACCCCACCAGGCTCCTCCATCCATGGGATTTTCCAGGCAAGAGTACTGGAGTGGGTTGCCATTTCCTTCTCCAGAAGATCTTCCCCACCCAGGGATTGAACCTGGGTCTCCTGCATTGTAGACAGACGCTTTAAAGCACTATGCAAAAATAAATAAAAATTTAAAAGCCAGATAAAGATAAATATCATATGATATTGCTCATGTGTAGAATCTTAAAAAAACGACACAAATGAACTTATATACAAAACAGAAATAGACCCACAGACATAGAACCAAAGGGGAAGTGGGGGAGGGATAAATTAGGAGTTTGGAATTAATATATACACACTACTACAAATAAAATAGATAACCAACAAATACCTACTGTATATAAGGAACTGTACTCAGTATTTTGTAATAACCTATGTGGGAAAAGAGTCTGAAAAAAATGATTCATATATCTGAATTACTTTGTTGTTGTATACCTGAAACTAACACAATATTGTACATCAACTATACCTCAAAAAAAAAAAAAATCCATTGACATGCCCATAGAACACAATAGCCTTGGATTTTGTTCAGTCCTAATACTGGAAGAGAAATATTTCGGTACTAAATTTTGCTTTAAAAAATGGAACAATTCTTCGGTTGTTTTATTTATTTATTTATTTTTGCATTTGGGAATAGATAGTTCCCTCCAAAACAAAAAGGAAGTTTAGCTAACATCAAGTGCTAGATGCTGGGGGATTCAAAAGATAAGGGTGGTCTTTACCCTCAGGATTTCTTGCTGATCAGCAGGAGAAACAGGCTCAAGAAATAAAACAACTAAATATTGGAAAAGTTGCATCATTCAAGTCACGTATGAATACAGGGGCAATTAATAGGCCCTGGGAAAGAATATACCCTGAGTCAGGGTAGAAACTACAGGGATGAGATGCCCTATGAGCTGATTCCTAACAGATGGAACAGGGTTTGCCAAGACAGCGTGCTGCGAAAGGTATTCCAGGTGGAAGGAACAGCATGTGCTAAAGCTCTCACGTGTGAAAATTCTCATCCTGTAGCTTGCAATCTACAGAATTCTCATCCTGTAGCTTGCAGTCTGACCCACGGGGATACAGAGCAATGAAGGCGAGCATGAGGAGTATGAAGAGAAGAAGAACGAAGGGAGGGATAAATTAGGAGTTTGGGGATTAACAGATACACACTATATATTAACAGATACACAGATTAACAGATACACACTATATATATAATAAACAGATACACACTATATATAAAATAAACAGATACACACTATATATATAATAAACAGATACACACTATATATAAAATAAACAAGGACCTGCTGTATAGCACAGGGAACCATACTCAATATCTTGTAATGACCTATAATGGAAAAGAATCATCTAAAGAATGTGTGTGTGTGTGTGTGTGTGTGTGTGTGTATACCTGATTCACTTTGCTATACACCTGAAACTAACACAGCATTGTGAATTAACCACACTTCAGTTTTTAAAAAGGGAGGCCGAGAACAGAAAGAGTAGTAAGTACAGCGTACTAGGTACTTCCTGCCTCTAAAAGGCAGTTTTGGGGTAAGTACTTGACAAAATGCCTCTGTTGTTTGCATCTATTAAGGCAGCAGCTAATATTCTTGACCTGGCATTTGGGGTAAAGAGAGGAGGAAATGATGCCTGGGTATCTTTACACCTGATAAGAGGTATTGGTGAACACTTAGAGATGGACTTAGGTCTGTATTGCATGTTCCTCATAATAGGAATTCCAAGCATAAAGTTAGAGCCAGTTGTAGACCTAAGCCAAAGAAACATTTTTGTTGTTATTCTGCAGGCTTGTCTAAGACGACAGGAATACAAAAGAGACCCAAATGAGAAGAAACGAGATCAATTTTGGGGGCAAGAGACAAATTTCGAGAGATCCCGGTTTTCAAGCGGGTCATCTTCCAAACAGGTACTTAGAACTCTGGGAGACACTTTTTCTGCTGCAGAGGGTGTGTGTGTATGTGTATCTGTGTGTGTGATGTTTAAGGATTTCAAAGGGCAGGGCAGGGAGAGACAGCGGCAGAAGCTCTTATCCTGGGTACCACCCCCACCATGCCTGCTCCTCCTCTGCTGTGTGACCCTCCCTCTTTACCCTGTTGAGTCTCACTCTTCTTTCCTATATATAAAGGGTCCAGTGGAGAGGTACCATGCAAATCAGAAACGCTGTGACCATTTAAGAGTTGGAAGCACTGGGCCTTCTAAAGTGCAGTATCATAATATGTCTATATACCTATATCTATGCCTACTTGATCTGTCTATATAGAGACATATATATATATGCAGGCTTATGATCTTACCCATTGCATCGCTTAGTATAGATTTTATTTCAAATAGAGTAAAATGCAGTAATAATTGCACCATGTAATAACTCGAAATTGTTCAAATATTTTTGTCTGGATGATACTAATAAATAATAAGACCAATATAGGGACTTCCCTGGTGGTGCAGTGGTAAAGAAGCCACTTGCCAAAGCAGGGGACACGGGTTCGATCCCTGGTGTGGGAAGACTCCACATGCCTGGGGGCAACAAAGCCTGTGTGCCGGGACTCCCAGCCCTTGTGCTGCACCTACTGAAGCCTGGGCACCTAGAGCTGACGCTCCACAGGAGAACCCACCGCAGTGAGAAGCCTGTGCACTGCAACAAAGACCCACTGCAGCCAAAAATCAATATAAATAAATAAAATTTTAAAAAATAAGACCAGGAGTCTGTCTGCAAAGCAGGAGGCCCACGTCCAATCCCTGGGTGGGGAAGATCCCTTGGAGAAGGAAATGGCAACCCACTCCAGTATTCTTGCCTGGGAAATCACATAGACAGAGGAGCTTGGTGGGCTACAGTCCACGAGGTTGCAAAGAGTTGGACACAACCTAGCTACTAGACTACCCCAACATAATAGCAATATGAAAATGATAACAACAGGAGTAATAGTTACCATTACTTGAGTGATTGCAATGTTCCAGTACCATGCTAGGCTCTTTTTACCTATTCATTTATTTAATTCTCATAAATCTCTTTGCAGCTTATAGCCTCATTTTATAGATGAGAAAACTGAACCTTAGAAAAATAAAGAAAGTTTACCTAAGATTTCACAGCTAGTATGCCCTGGTGGCTCAGTAAAGAATCCACCTGCAAGGCAGGAGACCTGGGTTTGACCCCTGGGTCAGGAAGGTCCCCCAGATCTTCAGGTCTGGAAGATCCTTCTTCCCCTGGAGAAGGAAATGGCAACCCACTTCACTATCTTTGCATGGAGGATTCCATGGACAGAAGAGCCTGATGAGCTAGTCTATGGGGTCACAAAGAGTCATACATGACTGAGCAACCACGCACGCACGCACACACACACACACACACACACAGACTCCTTTCCAGGCAGTCTGACCCCTGAGAGGGTGGCTCTGAACCCCTGAGCTGTATGATCATATTTCATGTTTAAGATCTTATCTGTGTGAGGTTTTACTTATCCTATGTGAGCCCTGAATACCGCAGGCTGCATTCAACACTGGTTATTAGTATGGAGAATTGATTTAAGATGAGTAATATGCCTTTTATGAATTCTTATTTAATATTTTATGCCTAAAATATACTCTGGAGGATGGACTCTCTTTTCTATCAGTGGTATGGATCCCTCAGATAGATCCTGGATACCTGATATCAATCAAGTTCTTGTTGGGATTTCTTCTCTAATCTAGGACATTCACATAGCAGCTATTTAGTGTTCAAAGGACACCTTAAAAACATCAGTGATGGATGTTTATGGATATATCCCTGGGAGAGACCTCTACTCCCTATTAAGGAACATAAAATTGCACAATAAAATGTTCTACCTAAAGCCCGAAGGTGAAAGAAACTACCTCACAATATTGGCAGCTCTGAGAACATGCTGCCTGCATCTTTTCCTGTTTGTTGTTATTGTTTAGTCATTAAGTTGTGTCTGACTTTTTTGCGACCCCATAGATGGTAGCCCACCAGGCTCCTCTGTCCGTGGGATTTCCCAGGCAAGAATGCTGGTGTGGGTTGTCATTTCCTACTTCAGGGGATCTTCCCGACCTGGGATCAAACCCACATCTTCTGCATTGGCAGGCACATTCTTTCCCACTGAGCCACCAGGGGAGCCCATCTTTTCCTGTTAATCAAGGACTAGATAAAATGCCTGCTGCTGATTAAACTTATGGAGTGAGATTAATCCAAAACTTAAATCTAGTTTGGCTAGAACAACACATTTTTAGCATTAAGATAAATTCTCCCAGTTTTGCACTTAGAAACAAAAATCAAGGACAGATGAGGAAAAAAAGTAACGTAATTTCAGTCAAACAGTAGCATGTAGCAATCTTCCTAGACTGGAATTACTAAACAAATAGGCAGCTGGGTTCTTCTTCTATTTTCATGCAAAATCTCACGTGCAGAATCTTGGCCATTTTGCACGGCAACACTCATGCATTTGGGATATTCTAGGACTTGAAGTTTCATGATGTAAAAATTACTCATTCTCTAAGGCAGGCATCCCCAACCTCCGGGATCTAATTCCTGATGATCTGAGGTGGAGCTGACGTAATAATAATAGAAATCAGTGCACAATAAATGTAATGTGCTTGAATCATCCTGAAACCATCCCCCCACCCCCGATTTGTGGAAAAATTGTCTTCCACGAAACTGGTCCCTGGTGCCAAAAAGATTGGGGACTGCTGCTTTAAGACAGCATTGCAAAATACTCAGACCACATCTAAAAAAGGACACAGTTGTACATATAAAAGTAATTATGAAATAAAGACAAAAATATGTGGTGAAATGCATAAAACTGGCGATTTCTAAAGCCCAAGGACAGGATTTTTCAGGCTTTGTGTCACGGCACCTCAGTATGTCAGAGAACTCAAAACATGACTGAATACTCCCGATTTTTTCCAGATGATGCTGTCTCGAGGGCTTGGGTATTGATTGTACAAGTGCCAGGGCTGCTCTCATGGCTCAGACAGTGCAGAATCTGCCTGCTTTGCAGGAGACCCGGGTTCTATCCCTGGGTCGGAAAGATCTCCTGGAGAAGGCAGTGGCTACCCACTGCAGTGTTCTTGCTTGGAGAATTTCATGGACAGGGGAGCTACAGTCCATGGGGTTGCCAAGAGTCAGACGCAACTGACATTTTCAATTTTCACTGTTGTACAAGTGCCTTCCAGGCTGCACCTTCTCTATCAGGAAGAGCGACAAAACACTGCTACATTTAAAGTGGACAATCAACAAGGACCTACTGTAAAGCACATGGAACTCTGCTCAGCATTAGGTGGTGGCCTGAATAGGAGGGAAGTTTGGAAGGGAATAGATACATGTATATGTATAACGGAGTTCCTTTGCCATTCACCTGAAACTATCACATTGTTTGTTCATCAGCTATACCCCAATACCAAATAAAAAGTATTTTTTTAAGAGCAGAAAATAATAGTGGTTAGCCCAATTAATATTTCTTACAAACCTATAAAATTATATCAATTTTTATTGAATTTATACATAATATAAATAATGAGGGCAGTCATAACCCTATTTATTAATAAGCTAAGGACTTATGTAAGAAGGAAATGGCAACCCACTCCAGTATTTCTTGCCTGGAGAGTTCCATGGACAGAGGAGCCTGGCAGACTACAGTCCATGGGGTCACAAAGAGTCGGACATAACTGGCACACACATAAGGACTTAAGTACCAAAATAGATTCCCTAAATCATTAATCACAAAACATTGGATTGGCGATAAATGTGGGAACATTTTATCCTACAAAGTAGTATTTAATTAAAGGAAAATTAAAGGGCTGATTTACAAGGTTAAAAAAAAAAAGAGTGACAAAATTTGAGTTTTCCACAGTGAATTTCACCTCTGCTTCAGTCCCTGTATTACAGACATTCCTTGGGGGATCCTGGAGGGGTTTGCCTCTGGATACAAAAGTGCAGGCAGGGTAGGGTGAGGGGAGATGTCACTTAAGGCATCCTTCTCAACAGCCATCTGGCCTGTATGCTCATAATGCTAATCACTCCTCACTCCATCTTTCGACTTCTGCCCAGTACAAGTGAAACCAGAGAACCCTTATGCTAGTAGTCCCCAAACTTTTTGGCACCAGGGACCAGTTTTGTAGAAGACAATTTTTCCATGGACGCAGGGGAAGGGGATGGTTTGGGGGGATGAGTCAAGCATATTACATTTATTATGCACCTTATTTCTATTATTATTACATTATGATGTATAATGAAATAATTATACAACTCACCATAATGCAAATTGGTGGGATTTACTATGGTCTCTGTGCAGTCAAACCTCTCTGCTAATAATCATCTGTATTTGCAGCCTTTCCCCAGCACTAGCTAGCATCACCACCTCAGACCATCAGGCATTAGATTCTGATCAGGAGCGTACAACCTCCTGCTGCTGCTGCTAAGTTGCTTCAGTCGTGTCCAACTCTGTGCAACTCCATAGACGGCAGCCCATCAGGCTCCTCTGTCCCTGGGATCCTCCAGCCAATAACACTGGAGTGGGTTGCCATTTCCTTCTCCAATGCATGCATGCATGCTAAGTCGCTTCAGTCATGTCCAACTCTGTGCAACCCTATGGACAGCAGCCCACCAGGCTCCTCTGTCCACAGGATTCTCTAGGCAAGAATACTCGAGTGGGTTGCCATTTCCTTCTCCGCACAACCTAGATCCCTGCATGTGCATTTCACCATAGGGTTCATACTCCCATGAGAGTCTAATGCCGTTGCTGATCTGAGAAGAGGTGGAGCTCAGGCGGTCATGCAAGCCCAGGGGGAGCGGCTGTAAATACAGATGAAGCTGGCTTCCCTGGTGGCTCAGTGGTAAAGAATCCGCCTGCCAATGCAGGAGATGCAGGTTCGATCTCTGATCCAGGAAGACTCCACGTGCCGCAAAGCAAACTAATC